GTATATGAGCCGACACTAGCCCATGTTAACATGGGCATATAAATGGTATGGTGAAGTCAGATTTTATGAACAATATTTTGTATGAAAATTTAAAAAAATAAAGTGATGATATCAAATTTCTGACTTCACCATACCATTTATATGCCCATGTTAACATGGGCTAGTGTCGGCTCATATACCCATTTACCTAACACCCTGTATAACTTTATTATAATAACCTATATCGCTTTGTTATGTTGGTATATACGTGTGAGTCGTAGTTCCACATTGCCCCCAGCGCAATAGCCGCGGGCTCCGGAGCCGCGTAGCGGAGCCGAGGCGGACAATGAGGAGCCGCCGGCAGCGCCTGCGGCGACTCGCTTCGAACCCAACAAATTAACGTCGCAGAATGTCGCGCCATAATTTTGAAGCCATAGATCCCAACTCGTAAGTTCGCAACTTGTCCTCGTACCTGAATTTTAACACGTCATTCCCGACCGATATTCATGCCCTGTTTCTCAATAATTTATATTTTAACACATTTTAGTTAGGTAGGTAGGTACAGTCAGCGTCAAATAGTTCACCCAAAGTAACCAAAAAGTTAGCAACACGTCTTGTTGTCAACTACATATTTGCAGGGCCGGATCTACCTATGGGCTGATTGGGCTGCAGCCCAGGGCCCCGGGGTTACAAGGGGCCCCCAGATAAAAAGTAGGCAATAATTTAAAAAAAAAAATTGTCTGTAATGTGGGTTTACGGACGATATTTTTACAACATCATAAGAAAATATTTATTAAAAATTACATACTAAATTTTTGAGATTTAAAAAAAAAAAAAATTTCTTCCAATTACTTCTTGTAAAGAAAACGTTATAATTTTTAAACTAAGAGGTATATCCTGATAAAATAAAAACAGTAATAATGCTAAATAACAGGCGATACTAAAAAAAAANTTTATTTATTTATATTATTTTATTTATATTTTTTATTTATTTATATTATTTTATTTGCTTTTATTGGTTACTCTGCAATGCCAAACAACATAACATGTAAAAATATCAAATCATTTAAGGAAAATATATTGTCAACTTAGACTCGTCATATCTCAGAATTCCCATATCTCACAACATAGCGCTTTAAGAGAATATACCTACAAGTATAAAGCTTTGAAATAAAATACGTTTCATCTTTGTCCGCCGTGGGGCATTTTCTCATATTAAAGTTCCCAATGTCCTTTCGAGAGGTTTGGGTATTGTTTTTCATTAGCTGACCACCACTTGTAAGGATCAGCTTTTCGATCTAGTCGATTTGATTTCAAATAAAAATCCATCTCATTTGCCACAGTATTCTTCTCCACGTTCTCCTCATCATTACTATTTCGCATAAAATATTATCTTTAGCGACTTCCTCAAAGCAGTTCCAGAAACTGTCGTGTATTTCAAATGACTTGTCATTTTCGTTCAAGTTTCGTCTCTTACGACGTTGAGAAGATTCATCGGTACTACTAGACTCATTATCATTACAACTTAGTTTCAGAGCTACTACACAGCAAATATTGGCCAGTTTATTAGTTTCACTACAAATCTCATAATATTCCCATATGGCAGATTTTTTAATAATTGGTGACATTTTTTAATGAACAAACAATTGAAAAAGAACTAACGAACAAACTTTTCAGCAAAATCGTAACGTTTTATTTTTGTAATTTATATTAATCTGACAATGCGTGCCGTGACGTGATTTACTCGCAATGAGGGATTTCGCGATTGAAAAATCCGCCAGATGGCAATACGTAGACGCGAGGTCCAAATGCTGCATGATTGGTTATTTTTGACATGACATTGACAGATATGTCAAAATCCACCAATCACGCAGCAGTCAGACCCTACATCCACGTCCCGCCATCTAGCGGATTTTTAAATCGCGAAAACCCTCATTGGGGAAACTACGTAACATCTTTTCGTCCAAAATANCTATACTAATGTATAAAACGAAGCGCACTGAAATCTATCCCTGGAGTTAAGAGAAAAAAAGAGTTTTGTTTTGAATTATTTACATACAAAATATCATCGATGTATACGTACCATGCATAAGATTTCGCGATTATGGCATAAAATAACACTCCCTATGTTGAACTTAACCATACTGCATCCGTACACGTTATTTTAGTGCGATTTAGACATTCTTTATAAACGATCTAGCGCTGTTTTAATAGTTTGGTAATTTGACAGAAATTCATTATTTCCAAAATGAAGGAAGAAGTTTTAGTTCTCTATCCTTGCAAAAAATCAATTTATTGGTGTATTACAATCGATTATTGAAGTTATTGTAAGCTAAAACTTCTTGCTCCATTTTGGAAATAATTAATTTCTGTCAAGTAACCAAACTACTGCAACAGCGCTTGATCGCTTATAAAGAATGTCGAAGTCGTACTAAAGTAAGGTGTAGGAATGCAGTATGGTTAAGTTCAACATAGCAAGTGTTATTTAATGCCACAATCGCGAAATCTTATGCGTAGTACGTATACATCGATGATATTTTGTATGTAAATAATTCAAAACATAACTGTTTTTTTTTCTCTTAACTCCAGGGATAGATTTCAGTGCGCTTCGGTTTACAAATTAGTATTGACCTAAGGAACAAAATGCACTATGGTTTCATTCTGGGCAGCACTTGGTCCAACTTCCATACATGGATTGGCACTGTTCTTTAACTAATTATGACATGACAAAAAAACTGAGGTATGTCTCGTTTCTGTCGGGCCTGGGTCACAGATGACCGTTCTTCTTTGCAAAATAGGCTGAATTGGTATCGTTTCCTTTACTTTTGCGATAAAGTTAATAATAACATCGCGCCAAAACATTACTCATGTATGTCAAAAGGGTTATTAGTCCGATCACGGTTATTTGGCATGTGGCAAAAGTCGGAACTAATGTTATTTTGACATTTCCCCATAGAAAAAATGCTGTACAGCGCCCCCCTGTAAATGTCACTGAAGAGCCTTGATCTGATATGAAATTTGAAATCTGACGTGACTTGACTGTGTATGTGTAAACCGTCAAACTTTCAAAGTGAATCTTCACTATAAAAACATTTCTGAAAATGATACACAATAAAAGTGTACTTTACTACTTTTAGGGTAATATAAATTGTCGTTTTATTACTTTTACCTACTCCTACTCTCTTCATTTCACTCAGAAAAAAAAGTACGTAGATCTACGTATTTTCTTTAAGGAAATTGTACCATTTCTACGTAATTTTCTAATCTGTCCTACGACTTTTTCAAAATCCGAGTTGGCAACACTGATCGCAGCGCTCATGGTGGTCAAAAGTAGAAATAATGTTAGCTCTGTCATCAGATGTATCTGTCAATGGCGAAGCGATTCTACATAATACATTTTAATATCATTAATTAATCGCATGAAAAGGGTCCTACTGGGAACTTAAATAAAAGAGTGGACTGTATTTCGATAGGGCTGTTTTAATAGCCGTTTACAATTTNTATAGAAACAGTTTTTTGGCATGGCTATTAGTTGAGTACTAAGATAGGCCCCCAAGTAGTTTCAGCCCAGGGCCCCACAAATTCACGATCCGGCCCTGCATATTTGGCTACTTTGGGTGTCACGAATAATTAAAGCTGACTCTACTCGTGATTTGAGTAGTCAGAGAATATGTACCAAATATGATCCATTTCAAAAGTAGGACACGTGCCACTTTTTATACATAGGTAGTACGTGCTTGCTCTTAATTACAATCTCACCCCGAGGGTGTAGATGGAAATTTCCTGGCAACAACACCCCGTATCTAGGGTGTTTTACCCCGATACCTTGGGGTTAAAGCTTATTTTAATTATTTTATCATAACGTTTTCAGGTCTTTAGGTCTATTTAACAAAAATGTATTGACTTAGTGCGCACAGAACCTAAAACGATCAAGTTGAATAAAATGGAGTTGTAGAGATGCCACGAATATTCGGTTACTATTCGGTATTCGGCCTATTCGGCCACTTTGTTTGGTATTCGGTATTCGGCCGAATAATAGGTACTATTCGGCCGAATACCGAATACCGAATCATGGAAAAAAATGACACATCATATTAATCAAGATTTGTCCTTATTATCAAATTACAATACTTTAATAAGTAAAATTAATCAGCGGTAAGTTGTGATGGATAAAAACAAGCTTTTCAGCATTTGACGGTAGCAAACGATTACCCTTATCATCATAAATGATACCAGCTTCAGAAAACAACCTCTCACTATACACGCTACTCCCGGGAGAAGAAAGATAAACTTTCGCAAATGACATTGGGAACTTTTTGCCCCACTTTTCGAAAAGTAGCGGACACAAACGAAACCTATCACAGATGATACATACTAATATCCAATGAATTTCCGTGCATTTTTTTTTCTCTCTTATATGGGAATATTGAGAAAATGAAGTTTAAATATTTTATTTTATTTTACATTTAGGTAATATTTTTGACGACCTCCGTGGCGGAGAGGCGCACACACCGGTTTTCAAGGTGTGCCGGGCCAATCCTGAGGTCCCGGGTTCGATTCCCGGCCGGGACAATATAGAAAACGATCTTTTCACATTGTCTCTGGTTTGGGTCTGTTGTGGTTCGTCGTTCCCGATTTCCATAACACAAATGCCTTAGCTACTTATTTTGGGTTGGAGTAATATATGAGATGTTGTCTAATATTAATTTAAGTATTTATAATATTTTATTTATTTATATTATTTTATTTATATTTTTTATTTATTTATATTATTTTATTTACTTTTATTGGTTACTCTGCAATGCCAAACAACATAACATGTAAAAATATCAAATCATTTTAGACAAATATATTTTCAACTTAGACTCGTCATATCTCAGAATTCCCATATCTCACAACATAGCGCTTTAAGTGAATATACCTACAAGTATAAAGCTTTGAAATAAAATACGTTTCATCTTTGTCCGCCGTGGGGCATTTTCTCATATTAAAGTTCCCAATGTCCTTTGACTATGCTGGCCCGTTTCACATACTAAATAGAAAAGGACGCGGTAGTCGCCTAATAAAGTGCTATCTATGTTTATTTGTTTGTTTACGTTATAAATGCCTACACCTTGAAGCGGTCAGTGATTTATCAAAGGACGCATTTATAATGACGCTGCGACGATTTATCGCACGCAGGGGTAAACCTATGGAAATATTTTCGGATAATGGTCGAAATTTTGTGGCTTCCTCCAAAGAAATAAGTCAATTTTTAAAATATAATTCTGATCCCTTGATTGAGCTTGCAAATCAAGAAGGCATTAAGTTTAACTTCATTCCAAGTTACGCCCCTCATTTCGGTGGTATATGGGAGATAGGAATTAAATCAGCTAAATTTCACATAAAGCGCGTTATGGGAAATAGCCACCTAACATTTGAAGAGATTTCCACACTGTTTGCACAAGTGGAGGCCATTTTAAATAGCCGCCCCTTGTACCCACTATCTTCCTCTCCAACTGACTTCCTCCCTCTTTCCCCAGGGCACTTTCTGATTGGAAGACCAATGACTGCAATACCAACGCCAGATCTACGATGCTCAAATGAGACCAGCCTTCGTCGGTATCAACGTCTTGAGAGATTACGCCAACATTTTTGGGACAGATGGCAAAGAGAATACATTGGAGAGCTTCAGCAGAGGACGAAATGGAAAACCAACACTGAGAAATTAAGCATCGGTGACATGGTGCTCATACATGAAGACAACGTGCCGCCATTGAACTGGAGATTGGGCAGAGTAGCTCGTCTATTTCCTGGAGTAGATGGGATCTCCCGGGTTGCTGACATCAATACTGTTCGTGGATGCATCAGAAGACCTCTCACTCGCCTGTGTCCGCTGCCAAAGGAAGATTCGTCGTGTTGAAATTGAGATTTCAACGAGGCGGGAAGTTGTTGCGGCTCCTGCGCGCATACGTCACTCGCCATACTAAATTATGTAACATTGCTCTAGGAAAATCCTAGGCGTTTAGCTAGTTACTGTTAATATTCAAATGTCATTTCTCTTGCCTTCCGATCGTCGCGATACGCACATCATTTTGTACTATTAATTTTCTATTATACTAAAAACCTCAAAATTCCGAGTTTTATTTGGCTCCAAGTGTCAAGCGAAGACAATAATATTAGTAGGATGCTGTAGGTAAGTGTATCAAAGTGAAAGAGGTTTAATTTTAAGATGAAAACAGCTAGCTTCCCTTTGGAGTACAGACCATACTTTACAGTAGACCAGACCATAATATCATTTCTTCACCTGCTGTTCCTGTGCCTGTGGCCTGGATTCAGCATTCACGCAATATGTGCCTTTGTCCGAACAATAACGTCCTGGTATAAAAGCCAGCTCGAAGGCAAGCCCAATTTCAATGAGCTCTACATATAACTTAACCAAACAACTCTCAACTCTCAAAATAGGTTACTCGACATACCTAGCACACGTTATGCTTGCCAGGAAATAAAAAAGCAAAGCGATAGTTAGGAAATAGGAAAAAATAAAACATAACTAGGTATAGTTCCAAAATACTGGACTGTCCTGTCGATGACATTGACAGTGGGGCGCCACCGTCAATACCGGATCGCTGGTTCAGATTTTTGCCATGTTGGAAACCATATAGTTGAACGATGGTAGCGCCCCCCTGTCATTGAGTTTGGTGGGACAGTTCAGCGTGGGTCATCTATAGGCTATATTCTAAACACCTGACAAGACGTAAGCGCCAAAAGTCTAATGTCAGTTTTCGGTGAGTCTAACCGTTTTTGAACTGTAGTTTTGTAAGAGTGATTTTTTTTGACTAGCATTGAAGTCATGTGAAGCTAATTCACTGCTGGTTTTAGCTTATCTCATTTTCTAGTAGATTCTTATAGGTACTGGATTAAACAACTGGGGAGTGTTGCCGACGCGTGAAACTTCCGCGGTGGAGGTTCTCCTTCTAGGTTAAATTCTTTTTTAATTATGGTTGGACAAAAGATGCAAGTGGCTTGGACTGAATATTGGAAGGCTGGACTAGATTGCTACGTGAATTAGTAAAAACCGAGGGAGAGAATTTAGTGGAATACCCCTCCTCATGAACACAAACAAAAAAGCAAGACAAAACATCTGATTATGACCTAAGTCGATTGCAGATAAAAAAAGGGGGAAAAAAAATGGTTTGACGTCTTGTCAGTTGTAAACAAGTATTTCGTGGATAAAGACCCAATATGAACTGTCCTATCCGTAACATTGACAGCGGGGCGCCACCGTCAATACCGGATCGCTGGTTCCGATTTTTGCCATGTTGGAAACTATAGGTAGAGTTGAACGATGATAGCGCCCCCCTGTCAATGAGTTTGATGGGCCAGTTCAGTTTAGGTCATTTATACGCTGGTGGCTTACAATTACAAAACTGCTTCACGATGCAGACTGAAGCCGAATATTAATCTTCAACTATTAACAGTAGGTAAACTACATTTTATTCAATGTATGTTTGTATGTCATCAAAATCGGATACCAAGCTGCTTTGATATCGGGTACAAAGCTGCAGTAATGCTTCATCAATGTACATGGCACAGAATGAACACCCTGTATGTAATAGGAGCACACCGTGGGCCGCGCCGCCGGCGCCCGCGTCCTTCCCGTCAATAGTTTATGTTTGCGCCGCGAGCTATGTGTGAAAATAACAAAATAATCTATGGTCATTGTTTATTGTTTTTGTCTATGGCAATAAAAGTCAGTCTTGAGAAAACCGCCAACTGCGTTTTATTAACAGGTTATGGGCTCAGACTCAAAAAGTGCGAAAGTATATAATTTCCGTGTATAAAGTTATAAAAATGTCGACGAACTATATAGCAAACGTTCCAAAACTTAGAGGTCGCGAAAATTATGACGACTGGTCTTTTGCGGCGTCAAATGTGCTGGTGTTAGAAGGCATGGCGGACGCCATTGCAACACAGTTAGCGGCAACGGCGACTACAGCCCAGAAAATTGAAGATTCGAAGGCGAAAGCAAAGTTAATCCTCACTATCGATCCGGCGCTTTATGTTCACATAAAGCAGGCAGCTACCACATATGATCTTTGGACTACATTGAAGAATATGTTTGATGATTCAGGCTTCACAAGAAAGATAAGTCTATTGAAAAATCTCATCAACATACGCCTCGAAAACTGCGAATCTATGACTAATTATGTCACCCAAATAATAGAAAACGGGCAACGGCTAAGAGGAACAGGCTTTAAGATTTCGGATGAGTGGATTGGTGCATTGATGTTGGCGGGACTACCAGAAAGGTACGCTCCTATGCTTATGGCCATTGAACACTCAGGTATCGAAATAACCGCCGACATTATCAAAACGAAGCTGATGGACATGAGTGATGATGCAAGTACGTCTCCAGTATCCGAGAATGCATTATTAGCTAAAGGAACTCATAATCATAATTCTCGAGGGAAAAATAACAACGTCAACAAATACAAGTGTTCCAGTAACGTGCTCAGGAGATGTGAATATCGTGACTGTCGTGAACGATATTGAGTATGACATCACAGTTTCCAACGTATTGTGTGTACCAAACTTGACCACAAACTTGCTCTCTGTGAGTCAGTTGATTGAGAATGGCAACAGAGTGACTTTTGGAGAAGGTATTTGCTGTATCTACAATCAGCAGAATGAACTTGTTGGCCAAGCTGAGTTGATTGATGGTGTATACAGATTACATACTTTGGAAACAGAAGAGACAGCAGTAGCAGTGCCAGCAGTGATATCTAGCAGAACATGGCATAGACGCTTAGGACACCTTAACAGTGGCAGCCTTAACAAGATGAAACAGGCAGTAGATGGAATTTCATTTCCAGAAGATGCAAAGATTGCAAAGTCTGACTGCATTACTTGTTGTGAAGGCAAGCAAGCCAAACTCCCATTTCAACAGAGCCACACTAAAACTGAGAGAGTGCTGCAGTTGATTCATGCTGATGTTGGAGGTCCAATGGAATGTGTATCAGTTGGAAAGTCAAGATACTATGTTTTATTCGTGGATGACTTCAGCAAGATGGTATTTGTTTATTTCCTAAAAACAAAGGATGAAGTTTTTGAGAAGTTCAAGTAGGGTTTCTGATTTCTCGACCAATTTTTTTTCTCGAGTTTCGAGAATTCTCGAGGCCAAAGTCTCGAGTTTTCTCGGGTCTCGAGTCTTTTAATAAAAACTGCTGAAATCGGTTGAAATTTAATAAAAACAGGTTTTTTTAATCTAATATACCTACTTTTATGCACAACAATCAATATTAGAATTTAGTACCACTTATTTTGGTAAGGAAATAAACAAAAAATAAAATCTTCTTTCATAATAATTATTTAATAATAATCATAACAAAAGTCATAAAGTCGCGTGTACTTTAAGGATAAATAACAATAAAAATCTGGAGCTACAAATGAATCACTTGTTTTCTAAAGAACACAAGTCCAAATAGCAAAATTACGATAAATAAATAAATAAATTTTCAATTTTTTTAAACTTTAGTCGATACTACGCTTCCACGCAATCTATGCACATGTCGTGGCAGCTTTTAATTAACCTAACGTCTGTTAGGTAAGGTAACTGTCTAGTTAACAATTTTTTCAGTCTTTAAATCAGTCAGATTAAACATACATAATAAATATAGCATACTCGTTGGTGAACATTATTACTTAGTTTCGATTGAGATCATTACTTGCAAATCAAATCAGTTAAAAAATGAAAGACTATGCCAGTCTAAAAGCAACGTTGACCTATTAAATAATAAAAAACTTACTTTTGTCTAAGAAAATAGGCTTTCAAGAATATTAAAGCTTCAAAATCGGAACTCGAGAATTCTCGAGCTCCGGTAATTTTTTTCTCGTCTCGAATGAAGCCAAATTTCTCGAGTTTTCTCGAGTTCGAGAAAGCTCGAGCAGAAACCCTAAGTTCAAGTATTTCAAATCTG